AGAAGCTAGATGAATCATCTGAAGACAAAGCCTAAATGCTGTGGTTTCTAAGGGAGGAAGTGTATCAGTGTTTGTAAAATCTGGGCTTTAAAATCTGCTTTTGTTGTACCTCTAAATGAGATGCAGTGTAGTTAAAGTGGCAATAGTACTTGTACTGAAATGCAAATATTTGTATAATGCAAGTTATGCTTCCAGTTATGTATGACATCAATGCTGAAACATCAACTGAAAGTTGCTTAAGGGTTATAAAACCACATTACTAGGTAATAACTGCAAACACATAGAGTGGATAATCACAAAATGTTAATCAGAAGCTATTGTTGAACAACAATTTTAAAAATGAAGGTCTGGATGTGCCAAGTAATAAACTGAGATCTGTATATTATTGATTTAAGAAAAGAAGTGGAAGTGGGTTGAATATAATACTTCCTTTAATGAATGTTAGCCTGTGGTTTATGATTGCCGCTGGGGGTTTCTAGAATATTCTTACGTTTCAACAAAATACTGCATCACTAAAATACAGTTGATTGGATTGATTAGGTACTTTCCCAATAACTCCTTAAAGTGCCTGTATTATGAAATAACAGTTCGCTAGACAAGGCAGTCATTTCTCTTCCTCCTCCTCCCCCTCCCCCTCCCCTCAGTTTGCTTTGTTTAAAGCCATAATGACAAAGGTGTCTGCTTGTCATGTTAAGCTGCCAGAATCATAAGGATTTGAAGGAAGTAAAATGGCTAGACAGATTTGTTGACCAAAACTCAAATTATGTGTCTTCTTTTAAAAAGGGATTCCTAGAGCTTACTTTTGTCTATCAATGCATGCCTTTGGGCATAATTATTTATTTTTAATATCTTATGGTAACATTCAAAATGTGTATTAATTGATAAATGCACACCAGTTGAATTCATTATTGCATTTACAGGGATTGTTTTATAATTTATTTTTCTTAACTGCCAAACTGCAGTGTGTTGTCTTGAATTAGGCACACATATGAACACATTGTGCAAATCTGGTCATTGTTAATCACTGTTGCTGTTAATAATTGTAATAAATCTTTAATCTCTCAACTTGATCTGACCAATAAAAGCATAAACTAGATGATTTGGTAAAAAGTTTCCACTTGACCATTTGAATTGATTATATTTTAAGCACTCAAAGAGATTGATTTTTTTTTTTATTTGAAAGAAGAAGGTAGGTGGTTAACTTGGCCATCCTGAGAACACCTTCTTTGCAGTATTTGACCAAATTTCTTTTCCCTTATTATATTTGTAAATACATGCAATATCTTTCTTATTCACCTAGCAGTTTCATTTTCAAGGATTTCTTTGCCCTGTACAGTGTTCATATGAACTGAATTCCTTATACATAACACTGTGTATATTAATCCAGTTATGATGAAGATTAAATCAATGTAAAGCTTGTTTGTTTACTGCAAAGACTGGAATCTAGACATTGCTGTTTAGCAATATTTTAAGTACACCATTTTAATGCTAAGAAGGATGTCCTCACAACACACAACTTGGTCAGTAGAAAGTTACACAGTTGTGTTCAGGTTAAATCAACAATGTCTGCATTTATATGCTTTTTCCCTGTCTAAACTAATAAAATCAACATTGCCTGAATGTATGAATAATAAAACACATCCCTGTTTAAAAATATGTAATGGATGAAGAAGAAGAAAAAATAAAGGTAGTTTTTTTTAATTTGTGTTTTTCATTCTTTGGTAGTAGCACTGAACTAATGAATTTAAGTGATAAAAAAAGTGGATGCTTGCAGTCAGTTTCATGTATTGGTGTTTTCATTTAAAGACTATGTCAGATATCATAGACATTCAACTTTGTTATATACTTTCTAATGTTGAATGCCTATATCTGGAATGACTGGGAAGTAGAAGTATGTAGGTAGGTGTGAATCTAGTGTTAAAAATCCCATCCTAAACTGTGGTTTGAAATTCTGGAAATGAGAAAAAATTGTAAAGAATGGGCCAAAGGAAGAGTAGATGTGCAGGGATCACAGTAATCTGTCATGCCTCTGATCTAGGAGAATTGTAGACCATCTTTTTGCAAGCGCTGGGATGGAAAGGGCTTGGGAGAAAAGAATCCAGGAAGGGAGAGAGATGGGTGGTGAGGTGGAGAGATAAAGTATCACCAGCATACTTTAGATTAGTGGTATGTAAAATGTATGAAGCCCAAGATACCTTTTTAAGTGTATGAGCTTGAAACAATACTCATGTGTTCCAAAAGTTTGTTTCAAGGTCAGAACAAAAAATGCTATTCCAAGCTGAGAATGAAATTAGCTATTATGAGCAGCAGATTTCAGATGTTATGGTCACAGAAGACTTTGAAATGAGCCATTCCACCTTGAAATAGATAGATGCAAGTGTTCCACGCTTGAAATCATACAAAATTGCCAGAGAAATGTATGTTTGATCTTATAATCATGAAGCATGTTGAAGTGAATTCATTGCTCTTGTTTCTTTGCTTAGCTCAGTTACATGGCTATTTGTATAGACAGGCTGCAAGAGTTTATTTCATCTTTTCTAATGGCTGCATCTAGTGAGGCAGCAACCAGTGGTTTTCAGGCTAGAGAAGACTATTATGCAACCCAGGGCCACCAAGCAAACTGCCAAGTTAACTTGCAATGGTGAAAGGAAAAAGCCCAGAGTTTAAATTCTGGAGCACCAACCTATAAGAGACTTTGCATGGAGGGGCCAAATCATCTGTACAATTATTTAATTAGTTATTTAACAAATTTATATGGCTGCCCAACTCCCACATGGTGACTCCAGGTGGCTTACCAAATTAAAACTAAAATATAAAAAACCAGTAAACCCTCCTCGCCCCCCTGGAGGCAACAAACACATATTCTTCATTCTAGTCTACAGTAAAGCTGATAATCTAGCCATCTTGCCTAAGAGTCTTCTGCCAAATAAATCTATCCCTGACATACTGAATCACTGCTTCCATTGTTCAGTGTGGGAATCAAAATAATAATAATAATAACAACAACAACAACAATAATAATCCCCTTTGCCTTTTTTTTAATAGATGGATGAAAGTCTATACTATGCTTATCATTCTACCTTCTGTTGTGACTCTACAAAAAGAGAGGGCCGGAAATGTTTCAAAATTCCACTGACTTCTGGCTTGAAAACTAATGAATTACTTCCTCATTAGGACACAAATTCAAAATTTCTGAGGGATATTCCAACTGGAGATGGATCTGCTCAAAACAAAATTCTTAATACTTATGCTTAACTCTTACTAAAAATAATATTTGTTTTATTTACAGGTAAATATTACTACTGCTAATGCTACTCTTACTGTTAGATGTTCTCAAAGCATCTTTGAGAGAAAAAAACTGACAGTACAAAGAATCATGCTAGATACAGCTTGTAGCAAAAGTTATCATTTTGTCGGATCATTATCATTAAAATATTTAGTTTTATGAAGGCAAACTATTTGGGGTTTAGTAGCAAATTCCATGCTTTTTACAGAATTAATTTGATTAGATGCATATATTTTATGCTCTACAGATCAATGTTATTTTTTTAGCTTTACATGTTTTTTCTATGCTGAATGAATGAAACAAAGTGGAATTATTTATTTATTTGTACTTAATTCTACTTGTGCAGGTAGTTCTCGGTTAATGACGGTAATTGGGACTGGAATTTCCATTGCTAAGTGATGCATTATAAAGTGCAGCAACATGTGACTGTGCTGCTTAGCAACAACAGTCCTTGGTTACCATCATTAAATGACCTCATGTGATCACAATTTCCAACTTCCTGCCAGTTTCCCCATTGACTTTGCTTGTGGGAAGCTGGCAGGGAAGATTGCAAATTGGGATCACGTGGCCGCGGGACACTGATGGTCAAAAATCTGGGTCGCTTGCAGGGTGCCCAGATTGCGATCATGTGACTGCGGGGGTGCTGCACTGGCCAAAATTTTGAGGAGTGGTCATAACTACCACTTATTCAGCACTGTCACAAGTTTGAATGGTCACTGAACAAGAGGTCATTAAATGAGGGCCACCTGTATAGTACTGAATCAATAATACAGTAGGTTACACTCATAAATAATAACACAGTAGCATCCTTCATACATTATGCCTATGTTGCACACGCACTAAAGTTGAGCATATAGTCACTCACGCACATATAGCCTGTGAAGGTAGGTGGATCTCTCAGCTGCTCTTGCTCTTGACCTGAGTCTTCCAGATAGGTGTGGCTAGAGTGTACAAGACGTACAGCTCTGGTCGTCAACCAGGAAATAATTAGGAGCACATGTAAATTACTTTCAACCAAACACAGACCCAGTGAATTCGAAGTGGTTACAGGTTACAATGTACATTTGTGCTCGCTGTCTCAAACACACTCATCCCCACTTACATCATCAGCTAGGCTGCCAGGTACTAGCTAGGGGGACAGAAGCTGTCAAGGACAACACAAAGAGTGGGCACATATCAGGACCCCTTTTATTCCCCTAAGCCCTTGCCTGGTTGATTCACAAGTCTGGCAGTTGCCATAAGTGGGGGGGGGGTCTTGTGTGCTCAGTGCCTTTGTCTTCTGGTGAAATTTCTCCTTTGATCCTTAACTTGGTTCCTTTTTATCTCTCTCAAAGGGATCATGTTGACAAGATTCCTGGCTTTTGCCCTCTGAGTAAATGCCTGCTCCATTTTTAGGTAGGTAGGTTGGATGGATGGATGGATGGATGGATGGATGGATGGATGGATGGATGGATGGATGGATGGA